TCATTGTTTTCTGGGGCATATTTAGTGTTTTGAATACTTTATCAAGTTTTACCACTGACAAACAACTTGGCTAACTTCTCCAAAGGTCATTGACTTTGAAAGTTTTCTGATGGAAAATCGACATAAGCAATCTAAGAATAGGAGAAGTTCATCCCGCCCCCCAGCTCTCCCAAGATTGCATTTCCTGCCCAAAATGCCCTCTGCTCACCACCTACCCCACTGCTACCTCGGCAGACACCCCAGCAAGAAGATTTTGTCATTCAGTGCTACCCCAACTCATATAAAGAACCCCTGAGCTCCTTAGTAAATTTACAGACCACAAGGCATGTCCGTTCAAATCTGACACCAGCTGCTCTGATGGGGCTCTGAAGCCAGGTGGCCTGCATCTTTAAAATGATTGTAGGAAACCCTACAGTTGCTCCTCAAGCCTCATGCGATAGCAAGATAAGCAGCAGACTGCAGGGTGACGACGGGGACACCTGGAGACTCTCTCGGCTTCCTCATCATTTCTTCAACCCACAGAGATAGTTTCTTCACCCACAAAACAGGCCTGTGGATGGCAGCTTGTGCAAACACAGACCTTTCTAGAAAACCATAAAAAGTCATTCCTATCCATATTAAATCTCACCGGTGCAGCTCCACTGCAAAACACCTTTAAGGTAACCAATGACAGTCCAACTTCCCCAAAGGAACAAATAAGTTCACATTGTCCAGCCTGGAAGAAAAGTTGGAGCCTGAATGGAAGGAAGATGGTGCAGTCACGGCGTGCATGAGGAGTGAGATTCCATGTCTAAAGCCACTAAGGGGCAAAGGCTGTCTGTCTTCCAAATAGCGGGGTGCAGCGGATACCTTGGGGAAAACCTGTGGTTTTCTCAGCACTTCGGAAGACTCAGATCCCAAGAGATGCTCGCAGAGGGGAAACAAGAGTGGTGGTTGGGAGCAGGCTCAGATTAAAATCGACTTAAAGAGTATTCATTTTAAGAGATGAATGACGTCGTTCCTAATGGGGGTGTTTAACAGATTCTGGGCACAATGACCTGTCCTTTGTACAGTCCATTGCATAAGTAACAGCTTGACAAATACTAAAAGATGTGGTAGGGAGGCTGTCATGACCCCATACCCCTGATGTCTGACTTTTCCTGTGGAAAAGACACACACACACACACACACACACACACACGTATATATGCAGACAACATATATATACATATATATGCAAAAGATATATACAGTTTTTTAAACTGGCCAGACAAAGCATTCTGAGAAAAAAAAAAACTTCCAGAACTACCATTGAGTCCATTTTGTGTTTGACATCTACTGCTAGGCATGGATGGGGCCTGTGGTTTGTGTAGTCAGTGAGACTCCATTGGAGAAAACAAATATTTCCTTTGTGAGAGGTTACCGATTGGAGGTTGGTTTAAGGCATATTTGTTTTTAAAATCTATGTGCCTAGCCGGGCGTTGGTGGCGCACGCCTTTAATCCCAGCACTTGGGAGGCAGAGGCAGGCGGATCTCTGTGAGTTCGAGGCCAGCCTGGTCTACAAAGCTAGTTCCAGGACAGCCTCCAAAACAATACAGAGAAACCCTATCTCGAAAAACCAAAAAAAAAAATCTATGTGCCTATGTCTACTATGAATTAACGTGTGGGTGTATGAAGGGTCAGAAGGGGACATCTGATCTCCCTGGACCTGGAGTTCCAGGTGGTGTGAGTAGTCATGTTGGTGTCCGGAACCAAGCCTGGGTCCTCTGTAAGGGAGTGAGTGCTGTTCACTTCTGAGCCACCTCTCCAGGCCTCTTGTTTTGATTTTTTTTTTTTGAGACAGGATCTCACATAGCCTAGGTAAGCCTTGAACTCTTGATCCCCCGCCCTCCATCCCCTGTGTGTTGAGATTACAGGTGAGGTGTACACGGCTCCACCCCGGGATATATCCCTGTTAACACTGAGTACGGACACATTTTCAAAAGAGAGATAGTTTCTGGACGTGACCATTGTTCTTTACCAAAGGCTGAGGCACTGCTAGGACAGTCGCTTATCCAACAGCTCCACTTGGCCGGAGAGAGTCGTTTGATTTTGTGTGCCCTTCTGCTCAAGTACCTTTTAAATACTCAGTGCTACCAAGTGTTGATGGCAGGATGACAACAGAATGCCGTTGAAATGACCCAGTCATTACCGGAATGTAATTTAAGAGGGGAAACAGAAATCCTATGGAAAGCTGGGGAGGAAGCTGAGCAATGAAATAGAAATGTCAGGATCTTCCCCCACTTAAGATTCAGGAACCAAGCGCGCACTGAGGCACAGGAAAGAATTTGATTTACAATTTGAAGGAAACGCTGCGGTAAGATAATTGAGAGCCCGAAAGCAATCCCAGCCTTGCCAAATTGCTTTCCCCCATGCACGCTCTGTGTAGGCGCGAGACATGTGTACTTACATTTAGTTTGTGCATATTTTCTTTCCCCTGTGAATACTCCACCCTGCCAGATTAGGCCTGTTTCTCTGCTGTTGCCAGCAAAAAGACAATATCAGAATTGCCCGGTATCAGAGCTTGCCTTGCAGCCTCATAAACAGAAAATAGCTGGTGTTTTGAAGGTGATAATCTGACTGTTAGTGAAAACATTCCGGGTCTTTACACTATAAACATGGGCTCTTTCAAATTAGTCTGAAATGAGCATGGAGAAGCCCAAAGGACTGACAAAATATTTGTTAGCTGTAATAATTGTCACCATTGCAATGGTGGTTAGTGCTAGAGATTCAATAGGTTGTTGACTTTGGGGGTCTTCAGGACTTTCTTACCTCCTTGGTGTTTTTAGACAGAGGAGGCCTTTGCTGTGTGCATAGTAGTAACCACTTCTAGGAAATAACTTCGAGTTCACAGTTCACCGAAAAGGTTAAGAAATTCCCTGCTGCACACAGTCCAGTGGTCACTCAGCACACTCTCTGAGGACAGGGACATTTTAACTTCTTGTAATCTCAGAGAACCCGTAACGAACTTGACCTAGGGAAGTTTCTTTCTCACTCCGGGAGCTCTTGGCTGTGGAAGCTTGTGTACTTTTGTGCCAGACACAAGGGCAGGAATTTGAACTTCCAAAGCACGTTTCTATTAAAACACCCCCTCTATGTTTGCAGTTTGAGAGTTGTAAGCTGGTTAGTTGATGGGGAATTGTCCTCTGACCTCCATGCACATGGTACTGCCATGCACCCTGCCCTCCCCCGCCCTCAAATACAGAAATAAAGTGTGAAAAGGGTTGAAGTAAATTATTTCTGGTTTGCTTATAAACCATGGCAGCCTGACGGCTTCATTTTGATAACAGCTTCACTGAGCCTCGGGAATGTCAGAAGCTGGCCTCAAGTCCGAATGTTCTACGGGTGGGTGGAGCAGGAAACGCCCCTTTTCAGAGGAAAATGGAAGCAAAGCAGCCCTGAAAGTGAGCCTTGCAGATATGCAAATGAGGCTGAAGCCAAGAGCAAGCCTGCTTTAAATTTATTATTTATTTATTTTGGTTTTACGAGACAAGGTTTCTCTGTATTGTTTTGGAGGCTGTCGGTCCTGCCTGTCCTCTAACTCACAGAGATCCACCTGCCTCTGCCTCCCGAGTGCTGGGATTAAAGGCGTGCGTCACCAACGCCCGGCCTGCTTTAAATTTAAAATCGGCAGCATCGGTGCTGCCTCAGTGCCGTGGAACCGGAAGTGGAGGGAGTGGGTATGAGAGTGGCCCCCCAAATCATCCTCAGGACCACAAGCTGCAGGCTCTGAACTGGATGCCTCCTGGCTCTCCTTGACAGACAGGTGACCCTTGTGAGCAAGGCCTTGCAAATGTTGCTCACTGCTGGCACCATGGTGGGATTTCCCTCACTTTTTTCCAGACGGGAGGCCAGTGACCATTGGTTCAAACAAAAAAACAAAACGTGGCTTTGTCACAAAACCCGAGTTAGACCATGGTTCCATATTACCTGGTGACCAAATGGGGAGATCTTAAGAGCATGTAGTGTTACATGACTGAGAAGAAGTTCATGTTACATGTGTGAGCACCCGCAAACATGTGTGATGCATACACATCCATGTATGTACATCCATGTGAGCAGAGAAGCCCATGAGGGTTAATAAGCTGAAGCGTAGAAACCTAAAACCCCCTGGTGCATAGTCACGTAACATTTTCACACATAATGTTTACAGTTTACATTTAAGTACTTTCCCATCGTATTTGCACAGTTACATACATTTTGTTTCCTCATCTTTGATGGGAAGGGATTTTGTTTTATCTTCTTGTCCATAGATGGAGGATTTTCAAATGCTTAAAATTCTAAGGCTTCTCTTAAGTGTAGGAATGATAACCCAAGGGCCCATCACCATTCTATAAACTATTCTCACCAAGAATCATGGACAGAATTCAAGCCAGGTATAGCCATGTGCACCTATAACCACAGAACCAGGAGGCAGAGACAGACAGACAGACAGACAGACAGACAGCTCACTCATTGGCCAACCAGCATAGGCTGAAATGGCAAGTTTCAGGTTCAATATGGGACTCCATATCCTGGGTAACTTTCACTGTCAACTTGACATAGCCTGGGGTCACTTGAGAAGGGAATGTCAACTGACTGACATAGGAGATGCCAGCCCACTGCAGGCAGCAACATTCCCTGGGCAGACAGATGGTCCTAGGTTATATAAGGAAGGGACAGCAAGCAGTGTCTCTCCATGGTGTCTGCTTCAAGTTCCTGTTGATGCTGGACTATAATCTGTAAAATGAAGTGAACTCCTTCCTACACTAAGTTGCTTTTGAGCAGAGTGTTCAATCCCAGCAACAGACGGAACCCAAAGACTCTCATGTGCGCAATTTCCTCGTGTGAAAATAGATGTGCTGCCAGCAGCTCCTTGGGTGCCATGAAGGTAACAAACACAACTCAGCCCGGAGGACACGACTGAGGTCCGCACCAGTTGACTGAAGGTCAGTTCAAGTGCTACGACACTTGGTTTTATCTGCCCTCTTCCCCCTTGCAGGTGGCCCCAGCCATTAAGGAGAGGATGATGAAGAAGGGGAGTCTCATGGTGGGCTACCAGCCCCACCGAGGGAAGGTCAACTTCTTCCGCCAAGTGGTCATCAGCCCTCAAGTGAGCCGGGAGGACATGGACTTCCTGCTGGACGAGATAGAAAGCCTGGGGAGGGGTATGTAGCCTTGTCTTTCATTCCCCCAGAGGCACCAATCCTGCCTTGGGGAGGGACCCAGATCCAGTGCATCTGGAGATATACTAGATAGATGACAATCCTTCTGGTGAGATTCCCGCTGCCGCCAGAAAACCAAAATGCTAAGCAAGTAGTCCTTAAGGGTGCTTTGGCTGCCTAATGCTACTGGTTGTGGAATGGCGAAAGTGGAAGTAAGAAAAAAATTATTCCATCAGATATTATCCCCAGAAACAACCCTGATGAGACCTTAGTCAGTGCCACGTGGATGGAGATTGGATTGTAAACTCCTGTTGCTCCTTAAAGAGCATAGAAACACATAGCTTCGAGCTTACAGCAATGAACCTCACAAGGTAGGCCCTGTGCCACCAGCAAAAGTGTCACCGAGGAACTCACTAAAGATTCACGCTCTCTGCCCTACCCCACACCAGAAATGCTGGTTCTAGTATCCCATGTTTTAATAAGCCCAATTAGTGTGTCTTATGCACAGTGAGATCTGAGAAACAATGTCCAAGCCTTACCAATGCTTTGTCAGAAAAAAGACATGTAAGATTCCAGTAGCCCCTCAACCAGGCTTGGAAAAATACAATTGTGGTGTTTCTACTACAATGTTCATGATGCCTGAAATGTCAAAGATACACCTACATACCCCCCCACACACACCAATATAGAGACTATGCAAGATTCTTACTACCTGAAGATGTATTTTTATTTGGGTTGAAGTCCTCCCCCCACCCCAGGAGTTAAAATGAATCGTTATCTATCCTACTTTATCTGAGTTAAAGATTGGGGTGAAAACCACACACTGGGTAGTGTGCCCTTTTGATCAGTGATAACTGAGTACTAATCTGCTTCTTCAAAATTGCCACTGGGTAGGGAGAAATGATGTACGTATGCGTGGGTCTCTGTCCCTCTTTTCGATTTGGGAATGCATTTCTTATTTTCATTCTTGGCTTTGTAGAGAACAGAATAAGCTGGAGTCGGAGGCTTCACAGCATTCTCTTTCTCAAACTCTGAAATATCACTTAGACTTCTTCAGTGGTCTCTCTTAGCAGAGACTCTGGAATCAGAGAACTTCCCATGGCAGTCCCCCATAGTTCATGGAAGTAGATGGTTATAACTCTCTGTGGCCACCCTCTTAGATTTATTCCTAGAGGGTTTTCTATGACTAAGACACAGACAGGATTCAGAGATGAGGGTGTAAAATGAAGGCCGTGTGTAGAGAGTTTGTCCAGGTATTGGATTTACGATCACCACCTCAAACTGTATCACTAACCGATGACATTGTAATTTTGAGAAACAATGTGTACTGTGCAGCACACACTGAACATTTTCATTGCAGAGTGCATGGTCTTTTGCTAGCTCCGCTCATCAAGGATATTTTTCACTTCACTTTCTGAATTACTTCAAACTCCCTGGTGGTGGGAGCTATCTGTGCATGATTTGATTCTTGTTGCCTTTTAGAAACTGTCCACATAAAATGCTCCTAAAACTGATGCTTGAAGTAAGTTGTATTCTGTGAAATAAAGAGCCGTGTCAGCACTGTGCGTGATTGGCAGTTCCTTTTCTGTCAGTTCTTTCTTTATGGATGCCATCAATTCATTTTTAAGACATGAACTGGGATTCAGCTGGAATTTAGCTTAACAACAGAAGAAACTAGAAATGGTCTGTCTTATTCAACACCTAAAAATTGGAAAAGAATGTACAGCAAAGTATTGGTTTGTTGTTTAGTTGGTTTTTTTTTCTAACAGGCAATCACAGGAACCTTGATAGCCATGGCACAGGTCCCAATGTGCCTTTGATGATACATGGTAGCTTTTTGATTGATGGAAAAAACCATGAGGATCAGATCCTTTACAATCCCATTATTTTTGTTTGTTTCTTGAAGTATTCTGCTAACACTATCAATCAGGTATTTGGTTCAACAGTTATAAGAATAATCATTTGAGAGGGTAGAGTGACAGCTCACTCAGTAAAACATTTGCCTTAGAAGCATGAACACCTGAGTCTGATCCCTTAGAATTCACAAAGAAAAAAAAAGCTGGGTGTGGTGATGGACCCTTGTAATCTAGCCGTGGGCAGAAAGAGGCAGTCAGATCCCTGAGCCAGCCAGCCCCATCTACAGGAGACTCTGTCTCAAACAACAGTAACAAATAGATAAATAAATGAACACATAATAAATAGAATCAAACCAAACCAAAACACAGGCAATGGACAGAAAAGATGACATTGTTTTTTAAAGTCTTCATTCTAGAAGAGACAGAGACTGAAGCCAAAGAAGCTCACAAGTCAAGTGGTGGCAAGGCAAAGACGTTCACCCAGAAGTCAGACTCTGCTGAGAATGGAGAAGAGGTTTTGTTTAAGCATCCTTTCCACACTGCCTTTAAATGAGCTAAGTTGCTGTGGGTGTTACCGGGGTTTGACTCACTGACAGTTGCCAGACCCCTCCTGTTGTCAGGTTGCCCAGGGGATGAGAAGTATCAACTGAGCAATCCCTCTTAGGACAGGCTGGACAGACGTCATAGCAATTGGCTGCTTTCACGAGGCGGAATACACACTACCTCCCAGGTGCGAGGGCCACTGTTACCGGGGCTACAGCATCTCCTTCAGACACTGTGCTCCAGCCATGACTGCTGCAGGTGACACGTATGGGTGACCTGTGATGACCCTGTTAACCCAGCAGCTTTTCAACTTTCTGACTTCACGAAGTAGCATATTCACCTGGTGACCCGACAGAAAGCTCAAGACGAGTGTCATTCGAGGCGAGTGATGGGTCCTTCTGTATAAGTCTCAGGATATGCGCTGGAAGCAGTTGTGATTGCTGCAAATTACAGTCCTACATTTGCATGCCACACCCCCTCCTTGGCTGTTTGGTTTCCCAGCCAGCTAGGAAACATCCCTCTGTACCCCCTCTGTGCCCACTCTGCTTCTCCCAGGATGGTTGACTTGCCTCCTTATGGCCTTTATCATGTCTCCCTTAGGGTGACGATTGCTGTGATGAAACATGAACCATGACCAAAAGCGAATTGGGAAGGAAAGGGTTTGTTTGGCTCATACTTCTGCATCGTAGTTCTACACTGAAGGAAGTCAGGACAGGAACGCAAACAGGGCAGGAACCTAGAGGCAGGAGCTGATGCGGAGGCCATGGGGAAGGGGTGTGCTGCTCACTGGCTTGCTCCTTGGGGCTTGATCAGCTTGGGTTATTTTTTTTGAACCTACCACTACCAGACAAAGTATGGTAGCACCCACGATGGGCTGGGTCTTTTTCCATCAATCATTAATTAGAACTTTCGGATGCATTTCCTTTGTTGAGGTTCCCTGCATTCAGATGACTCTAGCTTGTGTCAGGTTGACAGAAAATCAGCCAACACAAGTATCATGGGATGAGTGGATCCAGTAGAAAACCACAGGGCTGGAAGAGGTGGCAGCACCTGCCACTGTGGAGGTAGTGGCAGCAGCCATAGCAATGGAGAGACAGCAGCTGAAGAGCTCCCGGGAGAGGACCAAGGACAGAGGCAGCGAGGAAGAGAAAGGGTGGGGCTGCATAAGGATGCTGGGCATACAGAGACAGTGAGAGAATGCAAAGAACAAAGTTATCAGAAGGCACAAAGCTCGATGAGACTGCAAGCCCTGACTGCTTGAAGAAGTCAGGGAACGGCCAGGCCCTAAGGGCTGCATCTCTGTATCTTCAAGGCTCAAGAACTATATGAGATGCTGTTGAGAGTCAAACGTCCTCATGCCCAAGGTTTTGGAGCTGTGCCACAAACTGGTGCAGGGCGCTGCTATTGCTATGTTCTGCCAAGAGCTGAGGGTTGTACTAAATGCGGAGGGCTGGGCCAAGAGTTGGTACAGCCCAGAGAAAGAAGCCTCAGACATGCGCGTCTAGAAATTCAGTTCTCTATTAACTTCTAAAGCTGACAGCCATGAGCCTTCGTCGTGTCTCCGGACTTGGACCTATGAGCCTCTGTGTGTGCCTGCTCATTCCAAAAAGTTTGAATTTGAGATCCTAAGACTGCCAGCCATGGAAAGTGGAGTACCCCTTTTCTACTTATGATTTCCATCTGTGTGGAACAAAATGACCCCAGTCTGGTAACAATGTGAGCATTGTGAAGAGAAACAGAGAAGAGAGTATGGAGGGGGTAGGGTGTACTAACTATTGTAGAACGGTTGACCAGGCAAGCCGCTGACAGCTGAGCCGTTGAGCAAAGGGTTTAAGCAAGTAATGGAGAGAGTCTCCCGGGAAAGAACAATCCACATGGAGGAGGTAGTAAGGTCATATTGTGAGGACTGCATTCACAGTGTATCCAAGGAGCAGCATGGAGCTAACGGACTGCGGCAAAGCAAATGTTGGTCGGGGGGTAGGGGGTAGCTGGCATATAATTAAGTCAAAGAAGATCTTGGAAGTCAGTTACACAGACTTGCGTGGGTGGGGCCTAGAGTGATGGGGAAGCACACTAGAATGAGTACTGGAGGAACCTCGGGGCTTGCACACTAGAATGAGTATTGGAGGAACCTCGGGGCTTGCACACTAGAATGAGTATTGGAGGAAGCTCAGGGCTTGCACATTAGAATGAGTATTGGAGGAACCTCGGGGCTTGCACACTAGAATGAGTACTGGAGGAAGCTCGGAGCTTGCACACTAGAATGAGTATTGGAGGAAGCTCAGGGCCTGCACACTAGAATGAGTATTGGAGGAAGCTCGGGGCTTGCACACTAGAATGAGTATTGGAGGAAGCTCGGGGCTTGCACACTAGAATGAGTACTAGAGGAAGCTCAGGGCTTGCACACTAGAATGAGTATTGGAGAAAGCTCAGGGCTTGCACACTAGAATGAGTATTGGAGGAAGCTCGGGGCTTGCACACTAGAATGAGTACTAGAGGAAGCTCAGGGCTTGCACACTAGAATGAGTACTGGAGGAAGCTCAGGGCTTGCTCTTTGCACTGGGATATAAAAAGGGAGGAACAGACATAGGAAGAACAAATTCTTACCAATCTTAATAAAATTTTTTCAGCCACCCCCCCCAAAAAAGCATAGCTATTTAACTATTGCTCCAACTCCATAAGACACACATGAAAATAAAACAGAAAAGGAGGGAAAATAAAATGAGTAGGAAAACTGTTCCTGGCAGCTCGTTTACTTCTGGGCTTGCTTTCTAGTCCTTGAATCTGCGTGTCCTCTTCCACATGTTGGTAGTAGCCATGACTCAGCATAGTGCATAGCTTCAATGAGGCATTTCAGCCAATGAGGTCTTGTCCCCAATCTATGGTCTGTCCCGCAGCAGAGGAGAGCCAGGATACAGCCATTGCTTCTCTGGTTTGAGAAGACATTGTCAAAGATTCCATTCAGCCCCAACCAAGTTCAAGTGTGGAGCATGGGGATTTCATCTAGAAAGCACCACCTCTGCATTCCAGGTGTTTATCAACTTGGAGAGTTCATTCATGAGTGGGAATTTAAGGGGATAAAAGCATTCTTCATGAAGAGTCTCAGAAAACAAACGGTTGTTATTATGATACAGTATTTACTTTCAAATACTTCAACATGTCTATTTTTTATGTATAGGATAGCTTTAATTTATATTCCCAGTAGGGAGGGTGCCCTAGTCTCAATCAGTACTCTGAAGATGGTTAGCTGCCGTTTTACCAAAAGCTACCCTAGGAAAGTCTTGCTGCATGTGTTTCCCTGCCTTTACTTTTATTTTTCATGCGTGCGTGCGTGCGTGCGTGCGTGCGTGCGTGCGTGCGTGTGTGTGTGTGTGTGTGTGTCTGTCTGTCTGTCTGTGTGTCTGTCTGTCTGTCTGTCTGTGTGTCTGTGTGTGTGTAGCTTTGTGCATAGGAGTTCAGGTGCCTGCAGAGGCCAGTGAAGAGCCTAGATCCCCTGTCATTAGTGTTACAGGAAGTCATAAGGGCCAAACATGGGTGGTAAGCACCAAACTCTAGTCCTCTGAAAGAGCCCCAAGCACTCTTAATTTCTGAGATTCATCTCCAGTCCATTGTCCACCTTTTAAAAAAAAATCAACACCCGAACTTTGTTAGTTATAGTGTATGTACAGTTGGGTGTTTATTAGTGTTCAAGACAGATGTTGCCTCCTGTCTCCTAACTCAGAGCCCCTCACAGACTGCCTGGGGACATTCAGACACATGGGGTGGAATTTCAAAGGTTCTCTTTGGTTTTCTGTTTAACAGTCTTAGCCTAAAGTCATCCTGTTCTACTAGGTAGCCTGAATAGTTTAGGTGACCAGAATGTCACCTAAAAATTATGATGGAAGACCAGAATAGGCTGCACCATACTCATCTCTCTAGCATTGGCACTATTTTGGCATGATTGTTTTTGGAAATGTAGCAATAGCAATTAAAGAAGAGGAGACCACCAAGTTGAGAAGGAGTGGGGGTGGCGACCAGCAGAAGATGATGGGGAGAAACAATGTAAACGGTGGTCATGCGTGAAATTCTCAAACATCATAATAAAATAAAGGTGCGCTTTCTGCTTCGTTAGAACGGGAAGACGATTAGCAAGTTATTTTTAAGTGCGTCAAATATCAGGAGAGATATTGGAATTAGACTGTGCTGTGTGTGACTGATTGACAGACCCTGGGATGTGGGAAGTTCACCATCTTGTCTTGATCAGCAGTGTTTGCAAAGCAGGCCTGAAAGGCATGGCCCCCAATCCGAAAAGTAGGAAGCAAGCAGGAGCTAATTAGAAATGTGATAAGCAATGATTAGGCAGTTACTTCAGGGGGAAAATGAACAAGATGAGAAGATGCAACTGTGGAAAAGATAGACAGGCTTGTTTAGATGAAAAGCCTGTCAACTGGGGAGGCAAGTTCCCTCCTGATGGGGTCATTAGCATGTCATTTGCACACAGAGTTTTCTTTAAGAAAGGAAAAGGTCTCTGCAAAGCTGGGACTCCTAGGGGCCAGCTAGTCCTGCATTTAAAAGAGCATGGTTGGCAGGATGGATGCCTTCCCTGAAGAGGGTGCTTGGAGGGCTGTTGCCCACTGCTAATACTCCTGATCTCACCTTGCCAGAGCTGAAACGGCCAGGAGGAACAGCCCTAAGGAGGGCCAGAAGACTTTGGCTTCTGTTTGGACTGAGGCTCTTGGGTCTGAGCCCAGAGATCTCGTGCATTTGGGTCGGGGAGGCTTTCTCTTCCTGTGCTCTGGCTGGAGGGTCCCCTCTCTTCAGTGCTGAGGGCATCCTCCCCTCCTCTGTAGTTTGTCTATGGGTAAATGTCCCCTAGAGGAACCTTGAGCCCTAGCTGGTGGTGGGATTTTGGAAGGCTGTGGAACTTTGAGGAGGCGGAGCCTCTCTGGAGAACCGGGGCATCAGGGCTCCCTTGCAGCTTTGCAGAGAGGCTCCACTCCTGAAGTTTGTTTCGTGATTACAGATATAACAGGTCCACCTGCCTCCTGTTCCTGCTGCTATATCTATAACTCCCACTGAACTAGAATAAGACCACTAGCACAACACAATTTCAAGCAAGCTTTAATTACAATACTGACTAGGATGATAGACTCTGTCCAGGTCTGTTCCTGGATTCTCAGAAAATGAAGATGAGTCACGTTTTGAAGTCTTAAAAAGGCAAACCCATAATTCCATGCACTTCCCACCAGGTTCAATCAGGGGCAAGTGTACAGCCTGACATTCTTCCTGACTGTGTAACTCCCACCTACATTGAAAGGTTCAGACATTATGCTGCCCTCTGCCCTGTTACCTGGCAGGATGCACTCAGGCAGTACTCTGGCCAGCCCAGAGTTCTGTGAGAACCAGTCTGCACACAGATGTAAAGGACCCCTTTAAAGGACAGACCGCTCTTACTCTCATCTCTCTCTCTTACTCTGTCATCTTCCATTCTCTCTCATCATCTTATACTCTCGTCTTTCTCTTTCTCTCTCTCTCTCCCTCCTCTCTCTCTCTCTCTCTCTCTCTCTCTCTCTCTCTCTCTCTCTCTCTCTCTCTCTCTCTCTCAGCTCTGCACGGGTTGGTTATCCCTCACTCTCCTTTCTCCTTTCCTGTCCACCAATAAAACTCCACGTGGGACTGTTGACTCAGGTTTGTGTCTCGTTACTGGGCAAACCTAGACATTTTAACAACATACATCCAATCAGGGGCAAGGGTACATCCTGAAATACCTCCAGCCTACATCCAATTGGGGTACATGTACATCCTGACGTATTTCCTGCCCGTGTATCTCCTGCCTACATGTGATCAAACACACGTAATGCAGTTGAGTCAAATAAACTCGTTTAGGAGAGAGAAAACAAGTGGCTTGTTATCTTCCAGAAACAACAGCCTCCAGCATTTCAGGAAGTATCCGTCCTTGGGCAAGGGGCTTACAGGTTAGAGGCATTTTTGTTTCATGGATCTCTTAGGCACAGTAATTGAAACTTAAGACATAACTTTGGCTCTCACATATCTTTCATTGCCAACCATAATGGACTGTGTCACCTTAAACTGTAAACCCAAAGGACCCCTTCCTCCCTGCTTGTCAGGTGTTTGATCCCAGCAACCAGAAAAGTGACACAGCTCACGCAGAGTCAGACCACTGAGCCCTCCAGAGCTGTGCGTTACTGTTGCTGGCTTCACTGGCATTCAAGGTAGGCAGTTTGATTCAGGAGCCTGGCTGCTGTCATTAAAACACTCCTGATACAGGAGTAGGAACTGGATGGCAGCATCCAGATGAACGTACAAAAGAAGCCAGGCTGCACAGGAAGACTGGAAGCCCATGCTTACCTGGGCTTTATCCAAGGAACAGAGCATGCCTAGACATGCATATGCAGAGGGTGGGGTGGGGGTAGTGATGGGCCCCTCAGGTACCAGAAGGGGAGGCAAAGACTAAGAGAACCCTGTAAAGGGCTATATACCAGATGGTCAGAGGTTTTGGGGGCCACTTCCATTCCTGATTTAAAAAGCTGTCTCTACTTCTAGACAAGAATTGGCAGCTCTTGAAACTCATCTCCCATGATTGCCATAAAAAGTACTGTTATCTCCCAATGACTTTAAAAACAAAGTTTTTTTGCTCATGCATCATTCAAGAAATAACATTTGTGAAAGCACAGGCTTCACGTTCTACTGTCTTTCTAATGCCTGCTGAAATAAAGGCATATTTGCTAAAAACAAAACAGACAAAAGCATGCCTTTGACGGCTGGCAAGTTGCGAAACCTTGGGCACCAGCGCACAGCTCACACCTGAAGAAATGCTATGCACACTCAGCCACTCGCTCCCCCATTCTTCTCTCAGCAAGCATGTCTTCAGACTTGTTAGATTAAGCCGGTGAGGAAAGAGCATGCTGGCTCTCCTGGAGCAAACGGACTTGGGAAGGCAGATACAAACATGTAAGTGTAGATGGACCACAGCACACTACGTTGTGGCCTTCTTGTTCCACTGGGCTGGGCACTTTTAATCAAGAGACAACATGAAACACAGAAAAGCGAGTTACTCACAATTCTGGTTCCTGGATAACTGGGCTTTGCCCCTGATTGTACCTGGCGGGCCTGTGTTCTGAGAATTCAATTCTTCCCTGGGAGGTGGGCCTCCTCCCTGCCTCCTGGGCCTGATGGAGGATCAGAGCTAATGATCACCGAGTAAGTGTTTCGTTTATATTGTCAACAGACTCTTTCTGGCCCCTGGCCTGTACCATGTGTTTCCTTCCCTCTGTTTTTAATGCGATCTAGGATTTTCCTTGATAGTTGTGCAGAGCAGCAACTTAGTATCCGCCAAGAGGCAGGCAGGGTTCTCCACGTTCAAAGCACGAATGCAAAGCTTTGTGTGGATGACCAGGGGCCACACGGGCAGTCACTGGCATGCTAGTAAGAGGAAGGAGAGCACGTGACGGATGCCCATTCCCTGAAGCAGCCATATGTGACCATCCTGGAACAGTCACGTGGGCCAAAGCAGTCCCTGGGATGGGGAGGGGGGCCACGCTGGTACAGCAAGGGCCACCATGGTGGGACACAGGGATGACAAGGGACAGCAGGCTGCCAACCCCACCGTTTCATCCTCGTTAGTGAGCTTCTGCTGGGTGTGCGTGTGCAGAAATGGGTGGGGAGGCCAGAGGTAACCCTCCACTGCTGCTCCTTAGACCTGGACGCAGTCAGTCTCTTCACCGAGACCTGGGGCTCGGGGAGGCTAGGCTGGTTGACCAGAAAGCCCCAAGGAACGTGCTCCTGCCTCCCCAGCTGGGATTATAAGCACATGGCATCATCACCTGTGTAGTTCTTTTGCCTGGGATCTGAGGGACAAGCTTTTTTCCTTGTTCTTAAAACAACTGTCCTATCTCTCCCGGATTGTTTTTAAAGGGACCTGAGTCTGTTGGAGGATACCCTCCCACAACGTAAGAGCCAATTCTGTCCTCATCAGAGCAGCTGTGGACTACCTGTAAGAGCTCTTCAAGACCGGGCCTGCTGCCACACCTCACAGAAGTAGGGGTTGGGCAGGGTCATCATTACATACGTCTGGGGGGAGGTGATGGAAGGAGAGGACAGATCCTCACTCTAGATTCTGTCCTTCTGTCACCTCCCTCCCAGATGTATCCATCCTGGCCAAGTGCCCAGCGATTTCACGTCTCAGGATGAGCTAGAGTATGTGGATGGGGGTCGGCTAACTAACTAGAGGGGGGCCTCAATCTATGCAGCTACCGGGGAGCCATCAACCACACGGAGGTGAGACTCTGGGGTGGGCCATTCACGCCCCTCTAGCTTACCCCGTACCATACTCGGTGTGTAAGCATGCTAACTCATTTGTTCACCAAGTGGGACTTGGATGGAATCATTACTTTGTTTTCGTCGCTGGCACCATAATCTGAGGTGAGCAGACATGGTGTGCGCACGTGCCCAGGGGAAAAAACGCTCTCGCAACACTGTTAAAAGACAACCTACGTGGAAACGTCGGGAAGGACTTGTAGATGACATTTTCTGCCATGCTTCGGAATAATCCAGTGTGTGACGTGGGTTTAGCTACTGGGAACAGCAACAAGGGACAAGGCCATCATGAACTCTGATTGATTTGATTCACTAGATGTTTTTATTTATATAAAAGACAAACGGCATAGAATGAAAATAAGTGCTTTAGATTTTGATATAAAAAGAATATTTGTGCATTCACAGTCCTATTTTAATACATGAGTATGGCTGAAGTGTTCAACAAAAGAATAAAACCTTCCCTTTATGCAGAGTAGTGAATAGAAGTCAGCATTTTTAGGAATGACAACAATGTTATTCCTTGGTCTTTTTCTTGAATAGGAAAAACAAATTGACATAAACAAAACAAGCCACAGTAACATGACACTGTGTTCCAGTTTCTGATGATGACCCAGAAGTGAAATCACTTTTGAACCCTAGAAATCCCACTAGTGGACCAGTATTCTAAAAACTCACCGCTAGAGGGCGGCGGACAACAGCTATTGGGAGGGCATCTGCAAGCCCTATGGTGCAAGTGGGTTTGGGGGATTTCCAAGGTGTTGCACAGCACACTTCCACGGGGCAGAGTACATAGATTTTTGCCCCATCCCCAACTTGGTCATGTATCCTAAACCCCCCTGTGATCTGACGCCTCCATGGTCCAGACAGAATAAAAGACTCCTTGGTAGTTCGTCAATCATGCTCCTATCTGGCTGAAAATAAGTAGCTTCAAAACACATTTACAAAAAGAGAGACTGTTGCTTGCAGTATCCACATCTGTTGATAGATTAACAAGCTTCCCATTAAAGTTCATTCTTTACTGTCATCTGAGTGGACACAGTTCTGGGACTCTTCACGGGACTCTTGTGTGTCCCCTATTTAGATCCTCACTGTAGTTTCTGCGGAGGTTAGGACCATACAGAGACCAAGAACCATAAAGAACGATCGGGAGAGCAGAGAGCCTACCTTGCAGAGGCAAATGGAACTTAATATGCATACAAAGGAAATTAACCTAATAGGATCACACACAGGAGGGCCCGATGTCCAATTCGTGATCAGCTTCAAATCATAACCTCAGACAAGGTATGTACAGCCCAACACATTACCAAAGCAAGGTGACATGAATGCACATTTCTCGTGTGTGTATGTGTGTGAGGGTGTACATGTATGTGGTGCATGTACGTCTGGAGGTCAGAGGTCAAAGACAGATGTTGTTTGTCAGGAGACTGTTCACTCGGCCTCGGAGACAGAGTCTTCTTGGCTGACCAATAAGCTCCGAGGGATGCTCACCTCCCAGTGAGGAAATTACAGGTGTGTTCCAATGAGCATGGCTTTTTTCATGGGTTGTGGGGGGGGATCGAACTCAGGTCTTCTTGTTTGTGAGCAGTCGTTATTATTTGCTGAGCTATCTCGCCCAGCTTATGAATGCTCATTTCTTACAATGGATCTTGACCCAAGGAAGCTTTCATTTCCAGACGGGGGTGGGTGTGGGTAATGTGAAGACCGAGAAACCAAGCAGCCACCTCAGAGTCACACCTTGCTGCAAATGCTGCCCCCTAGTGCGGCAGCCAGGAAACCCCTCCCTCCTTCTCTAGAATACAGATTTCTTTTTTCTGCCACATCTCAGTTACTTGAAACGAAGGGCGACTTTTTCAGACGCTGTGCTGACCAAGCAAAACATGGGTTCAGAGCGTCCCCAGACACAGTTGTACGGTACAGGCAGTGTGTGTCATTCGAATCGTGCCTGCCGTTTGGGAGCCTGGGAAGGTAGAACCCATTGGCGTTGCTGTGGGAAGCCGCAAACCCCAGCAGGAGAGAAGCACAATGAGCTGCAGGGCTGGGTGTGGGGTGTGCCGCTTTAAACAGCAACAACTGATAACTGCCTGCCGGGAGTAACAGTAACTCAGGCTCGGAGGAAATGAAACCACCCAGTCTTATTAGCAGATGATGGGACAGTTTCGTGGGTGGGGAGACGGCCTTCCTTGATTTTGGTGGACTATGAAAATGGAAAGCTGAGGCCGAGCTTCCAGGTTAAACCCGAAGGTTCACAAAGTCAGATGTGGGGCTTGAATGTAGAGGGTAACAGGAAGCAAAGCAAGGCACACGGGAGACCCTGGGGCACAGTGATGGGACTTAGCTCCCTGGGCAAAAGCACCCTCGCGTACAGGGTAATTATTGCAAAAGAAAGTGTTTTGTGGCCAAAGCAGGCCGTGAGGCATGGATCCTTCTCATGCGACTGTCCCCCTAACCCACATTCCGGGGACCACCGCGCCCACGTGATTGTCAAGTGCTAATGCTGTCCCGAGTGAGTGCCTTCTGCTCCATTCTGGAGCTCTCCAATAAAAGCTAATTTCCCGGGAACGTTTGATCTTTTTCTTTGTCTCCTTGCAGAGTATGGCTATAGATAGATATATAGACATATATAGATATATAGATATAAAACATAGCTATTCATATTTACATACAGGCATTAATAAAGTGCAAATGTTATTGGCTGTTGTAAAAATCAATCTCATTTCCTGAGGAGGTGCTAATACAGCTTATGCCATGGCAACAACGTCCAGGGCATAGAATGCTCTCTGTCACTTAGCCCCTGCTGCTGCTGCCGCTGCTGCTGCTGCTTCTGAACATGGAGCAACCGTCAGGGAAGAAGGGAGCAAGTCCTTGGCTTTCCCAGAAGCATCAGTCAGGACAGCTTCCAGCTCCCTGTCTTTGGTGAGAGGACGGCTTCTGGAGGCTTGACCTAGCCTGCCAGATAAAGCTATTTGGTAGTGTTCAGTGAGCCATCTTCTGGAATCTTCTCCTGGGAGCAGCTCCTCCCAGAGAGTCTATCTGGGTTCTCCAGCTCACTGAAACGCTCTGCCACACACTGGGCTGTGAGGCGGGCCTCGGGGTCATGGTCCCAACACTCTGTCAGTGTCTCACACACGATCTGGATGCCCTGCAGAGGAAGGGAGGGGGTCCCAAGAGTATTGTCAGTGGCTGGTCTCCATGCAGTTAGGATCAATACATCATTATCAAATGGTGTCCTATCATCCCTTGCCCTCCAGAGTTTTACTCTTTGAGAATGTAACATGGCTAGTTCATAGGTATCTTTCTGTTTGAACAGAGCTGGACACCCAAGTCCAGAGTGGAGCAGGCACTAGTCTGGGTTCACTTTGTAAAATCTATATTTCATCGAATGACTCAGAAGTTACTCCCAGGACTGTCAAGGGTGACTCCATGGTGCTCCTGTCATTTCCAGTGACATTAAGCTAGGCCCTTTGACATGGCTGTCTTTGTATGCCAGATTGTAAGTTTTTTTGTTGCTGTTTTTGGTTTGGTTTGGTTTTGGTTTTTCAAGACAGGGTTTCTCTGTGTAGCTTTGTAGACCAGGCTGGCCTCGAACTCACAGAGATTCTCCTACCTCTGCCTTCCAAGTGCTGGAACTAAAGGCGTGCGCCACCACTGACTGGTTGATTGGAAGCTATTTTATAACTTGTCCTCCCCCACTGAACCTCACCCCCAGACAGGAAAGCCTGTCCAGAAAGCAAAGTGCTTTACCACAGGCTGGATTTCATTTTGCGTCAAGAAGAGTTTTGTTACTACTTTCAGTCCTCTCAGAAAATCAGAAGTTAAGTAAATAGTCTGAGAACTGGGAAGATCAGTCCCTTCCTTGCAGAGGCCAATACATCTAACACTCTTTGTGGAGAGTTGGCACTTGCCTGCCCATACCAGCAACTTTTACAACATCTAGGGATTTCCCCCACCCCCAGTTCTTGATGTGGAATTAACTGCATAATTCACCTAACTAATGGTATTGATTGATGGCCCTGTTAAGAGTAGAATGTTATTGTTCCTATACCAGAAACATTTATTTTGTCCTGACACAGTAATTACAGGCAGTAAATTAAATTAAATATTAAGCATTACCTTGAAATCAATAGGGCAACAAATCTCATTAAGAGAAAAAAATGTATTATGCAAATTCTTTCCAGAATTTTATCATAATGAATAACGGCTTCATTATAAGAACTTTACAGGAGAGACCTCAAGTGATGGTGGCAGGGTTTCAGTAGGACATACCATTCTGGCACCTTCTAATTCCTGAGTTCTTTCAAACAGTCTTGCATTTTTTAGAACCAAAGACAATTTGTCTGAGAGTCTGGAGAAGACTTTGACCCTGGGAAGCCTGGCTAACCTACTCCCTGATCACAGTGCTGGCTCTGGGCCAAGGCTGGCCCCAAGCAGGCTTCCTGCCCTATTTGTCTACCTGAATGCGCCTAGCTTGCTGTTTCTGGTTCTCACTTGAAATTCTCATGCCTTTAGATAAACCTACATACCCATGGCCAGCAAGGATGAAGGACTTCATCCAAGAGAGCAATAAAGGGCTTTGCTGGGTGGAAGAGAATCATTCTTCCAGAGAGATAGAAAAAACTGTTCTGGATCTTTCTTCATCAAGGCTCTTCCTCGGATGTATCACATGTGGTCAACTGTCTCTCGCTCACAACCTAACCTTTGTTCCCCTCTCCTTCAACCTCTGTTCTGAGCAGCCTTAACTTCCAGTTCTTGGGAAGGAATAACGATGAACTGTGTGGCTATCACTCAATAGGCTGGTCCCCTCCTCCGTCACCAGCAAGCTCCTTGTCATCGCTTTCCTGGCCTCCATCGTGGTGGCCAGCCTACCCCTTCGTAGGCGCACTCATCTCCATGCACAGCCAGCAGATAGATATGAGGGTGCCATCTATCCAACGGCCCTGCTTGCTTCCAACTGCTAATTATGTCTTTGTGAAGTTGAGGAACCCCAGCCGAACAAAGGCAGAGTGAGAGGGAATGAGACGTAGGCCTCTGACACGAAGGCACAGGCGTGGACAGCAGACACAGCTAGCAAAGTATCTTAACCCTGAATCAAGAGGGCTTGGGAAAGGAGACCAGTGCCCTCCAGTTGTCATCCTAGAGCTCTCTGTGGACGCTGTAGAAGCCTGGTGAGAGCCACGTACGAGAACAGGGTCACCCACTTACACTGAAGCTTTCCTTAGGAACACAAACCTAACGAGGTTACAGGGACCCAAGGGCCCCGGCACTCAGGGTGAGGCTCCACTTCCCAGAGCTCTCTGCTGCCCAGCAGCGGGGTTACAGGGACCCAAGGTCGATCCTCCACACTCCGGGGCGAGGCACCACCTCCCAGAGCTCCCTCTGCTGCCTGGCAGCGGACCCCTCTGCAGGGACCCAAGGTCGGTCCCCCGCACTCAGGGAGAGGCTCCACTTCCCAGAGCTCTCTGCTGCCCAGCAGCAGGGTTACAGGGACCCAAGGTTGGTCCCCCGCACTCAGGGTGAGGCTCTACAGCTCTGCTGCCCGGCAGCGGGGTTACAGGGACCCAAGGTCGATCCCCCACACTCATGGTGAGGCTCCACCTCCCAGAGCTCTCTGCTGCCTGGCAGCAGACTCCTCTGTAGGGACCTCCCGACCCTTCCGAGCCAGCACGCCTCACCTGGTGGTTGAGCCAGAAGCTGGGGATTTCAGGCCGTCCTCGATCTCTTAGCACGTTGTCCTTCATGCTCTCCACACACGGGTGCTCCCTCACCTTGGACCCAAACGGGGGTTCATAATCTTTCACTTCTGTGAAGAAAACAGGCAGACACAGGCCAGATGAGTACAGGGCCGAGAGAAGTGTGCCCGCTGAGTGCCTGGTTGGAAACAAGGACAGAATGCGCTTGCCGTTGCCAGAACACTGTTAATGGTAGTGGATCAGAAGAAGAAGGAAGGAGTGGTGGTGGGAGGATGCTGGGAAATATCCCCCTGGTGGCTGTTCGGTCCTTGTAGGCATCATGCCAATAGCTGGCACCTAGGGAATAAGGCAGAAGGGGAATCTGATGCCCCCTTTTGGCCTTTGTAGGCACTGCATCCATGTGCACACATTCATGTACAACATTCATATATGGACACACATAATTTAAAAACAAAAATAAAATCCTTTATTTATTACAAAGCTTATGGTCCTCCGTAGGCCCACAGCACACAAACAGATTTAGTAGAGTGTGTTGAATTTCAAGCGAGCATTAGTCCTACAAAGCCATACAATTCTGAAAGATTCTACAGCCTGGATGGTTCCTGAAGACGTTGGGTAAAGGAAGTACATCAGACTAAAAGGAAAATATTATGTGGTCCCAAGGTATCATCCAGCACTTGGGAGGCTGAGGCACCAGGGTCAGGAGTTCAGGGCCAGCCTGGGATGGTAGGGAGACCCTGTCTACAACAAGAGAGAACAAGCAAGTCTCCTCACCCTGTGGTGGTGTGCAGAGCAGCACCAGGCCATACTGCTGGATTCCTGTCTCCAGAACCGTGAGACAAAAGAAAGCATTTTCCTTTGTAAATAATGACAGTCTCGGGGAGTGTATTATGGCAGTAAGAAGGGAGCTAGATCTCCCTAGAGACAAATCCACAGACGTGAAGAGAGTATCTCTAGGGGTTAAGAGATGAATACCAGAGGGAGGGGATTAGAAATGTTAGTGCTTACAGTCGGTATAGAGTTTCAGTGGGAGCGATGGGAGATTTCTGGGGCTGGGGATGTTGCTCAGTTGTAGAGTACTTGCATAGCATGCATGAAGTCCTGGGTTCAAGTTCAGTTCCCAATGTCATGAAGGAAAGTGTGCACACGTGTGTGTGCATGTGTGCGTGCACGCGTGCATGTGTGTGTGTGAGAGGGGGGGGTGAGCACTGAAGGGGAAGGCTGGGCTATATTCCGCATCTCCCCCCACTAATATGCAGGATCTTTGGCCTTTAACTTCAAGATAATTTTCCTTAATGAGCAAAAATTTCAGTCATTTGCCTTCTATGCTAAGAATTGAAGATGCTTTCATGGTTAAATGGAATTTAAAAGAGGAATAGTCTGTTTTATTTTTCTCTTTCATTTTCCCAGAAGTGCACTTAGGATCTTTTACAGCCTCACCCCAGTAGAAAAGCTGTCAGGATCTTATTTTATCATTTTATTTGCTGGCTGATTTTTAAAAATAATATCCTTGTTTATTCTTTGGAATTTTCACACATTTATACACTGTATTTTGACCATACCCATCCACCACCGCCTCCTTCAAATGCTCCCTGGTGACTCCTCTCTCTTCCTAACTTCATGTTCTCCTTCTTTGCTATCAATCCCCCCAGGGTATTTTTTGTACCTCATTTTCCATAGATTTTAAAAAACTTATTGTATTTTAGAATGCAATTGCATTTATGACATTGAAATGAACACAAGCCCCCTTTGTCACCCTTTGACTGTAACCACACCGAGAATTCATCTACACTGGTCTAGGGGTACATTCCGAGGTCTGACCTCTGGGGTCCATACACCCCTTCTTTCTCCCTTCCTCTATCCTCCATCAGACCACTGATCCTGAGGCTCAAGGCTGGGGCAGGATTGTATGTCTTCCTCTGCCTGCTGCTTTCCATTTTGCTTTAGGCATCCGGTAAATGCAAACGGGGGTGACTTCAAGCAAAAGCTGAAGCTGGGCGGGTCAGAGCCAGCTCCAGATGAGACCCCACGCTCATCGCCATCTTCTTCCTACGGAGCAAGTGGAGTGACCTGCGGGACCATCATCTTCCCTTCCAGATTATCTCATGGCCCACTCACACCAAATAGCTCATTTCCTTGTTGCACTCTTCCAAGAAAGAAAGGACTAGATGGCAGGGGATCTGTAAGAGATATAAATTGCTCACTGGATACTGTATTGGGCCACAGACTCTCTGTTTCTAACTCTCTGGCTGCTGTTGCAGTTGTATTTGTTGCCTAACGAGACACCTTTACCAAGCCAAGAATCTCGAGCAGTTTAGGTATTGCCCACGGGCCTCACTCCTTCCCCCTTCTCTGCAGAACTGTACTGGCCAGATGGAAATACCCCAGCCTGGAGATGCCCGGACATGACACCCACCTGCCAGAGGCAGCCATGTCACACGGTGACATGTGTGTTGACTGGTTCAATCTTCTTGCCTCTGCAAACCCCTCTAAGAGCATCTGTGAGACAAGACTGAGGCCGGGCTCTCTGAATTATGTAGTAATCCCAGCACAGCTCCTTCTCCTGACTGTTCCCGTTTCCCATGAGACCTGCTCCTCGATAAACAATGCCCCCCAAATTTTCACATCAGGTCCTACTTCCAGCAACGCTGGTCCAAGCCAGCTGCCCACCAAGAGCTTCCCTCTTTCTCTTTTGGTTTCTGTCTGCTCAGCTGCCCCTCTGAAGATGACTGCCACTCCACCGTGAGGGAGCTCTCGAAGTCCTTCCTTGAGATGCAGGAAGGATGCTCAGAGCCACGCGGCATTATGGGTGTCTGATAAAGGACCTTTGCTTTTCCAGAAGGCATCCTTGCTTTCTCCTTCCCAGGGAACACTTCAGGGGGAGTGCTCCAGGGGCCACGGTTCTCATGCCCATGCTCAGAAATGACAGGCAGGCCATCGCAGCAAGTGAGAGGGAAATATCAGGGTGAGAATCTGGCCCAGAGTCTACCTCACGGCTGAGGCCCCGAGAACAAAGAAAACACATCTATGGTTGAACTATTAACTAGGGCTAGTTTATTCCACTCTGAGTTCCAAGCCTCAAAACCATTTGTGACCCCTCATCTTTACTGTCACCTTGACTGGACTTGGAACGACCTGGGAGATACACTGCTGGGGTGTCCCTGAGGATCGGGGAGGGGAGAGGCCCCTGCTCTGAGGGTGTGCAACACCATCCACTGGGCTCCAATCCGAAACTAAGTACAAAGGCAGAAGGAGAAATCCAGCTGAGTGCATGCATCCCTTCCCTGCTCCGTGCTAACGGATACGGAACATGACCATCGGTGACCTCACGTTCCTGTGTTCGTGACAGACTGTACCCTCAAGCTATGAGCCCACATAAACCTTTCCCTTTTAAGTTGCTTTGGCCCCAGCTGTCACCACAGCCGTCATCTTAATGTGTAAGTTCCGTGTGGGCCAAAGGAGGCGTCCGTGGAGCGTGGGAGAAGGAGGCTCAGAGGTGAAGTGACGGACGCCGGCCCCGGTGGGAAAGGAGACGAGGCACACGGTTTTTTTTTTTTTTCCCCAAAGCAAGGGGAAGCTTAACTGAGTGTCCCCTGTTTCTCCTGCAACCTTGGGAACTATGAGACTTCCTGCGCTCTGAAGGCCTACTTCCTCTCTTTGGCTACACTGGGGAAGGGAGGTCAAGGGTCATTCATCAGCCAGATGCTGGCAGAGACCAACTGTCTGTGCCACACAGGGCGGATCTGAGAGCTTCGCTGCCTTCTAAGTTTAAAATGGAAAAAAATGGGTGTGGTCCAAGAGCATCGTGTGACCCACATCATGTGACCCAGACTGGCTGGTGCCTGTCCCTTGAAAGGGACCTTTCAAGAGGGTACAGCGGTACACGACTGTCATCTCAGCACCGCGGAGGCTGAGGCAGAAGGATGCTATAAACTTGAAGCCAGCTAGGCCTAGACAGTGACTGACCTGTAGGCAAACATTCTGGGCCTCAAGTGTGATGGCCCCTCCCCATCTCAAAAAAAATCAATTATCAATCAATCAATCAATCTTCAGTCAGTAATCCCTCAGGTTCGGGTGGGGAGGATTTGAAGTGCACACATATTCACACTTATTCATTTGCATACAAGCCATGGTGAACTTGTGGAGGTCTGAGGTCAGAGGTTAGAGGACAACTTTTGGGAGTTGCTCATTCTCTCGTTCCACCACATGGGCCTGGACTTGAGCTCAAGAGCCCAGGCTTGGGGGCCGGTGCCTCCGCTTTCTGGGCCATCTTGTATCCTTGTGCACACGTTTCAATTGGACTTTTTCTTCCACCCCCTGAAAATAACGCATTTGCCCAATATATGCTTCCATAACAATACACGCTAGACTGTTTTTCTTACCGCGGGTTTTGCTGGTTCTTCTTTCTGTGGTCTTTCCCCTCATTCTGAACACCCTAGTCCTGACCCTACTTTCTTCTCTCGTGTCTCCCAAGCGTGCTGAGGTGACTCAGATCTAGCCGTGTGGACGCTTGCCACTCGGCCTATGTATCTAGTATCTGCTCCCGGCACTAAAGAGGGGGGCACACACACACACACACACACACACACACACACACACACACACGTGGGGGGGCCTGCTTGCTGCTTTTGTGGCTACTCAGGCAATCCTATCTGCTGTTCTCTGAGCCTCCATGGAGACCTGGGGACACGAACAGTGCAGAGAAGGCCATTCCCTCTTGCAGGGAGTTTCTAAATCTGCTTCAAGTTTTGGCAGATGTCCACCTTGACTCTGAACGAGAGGATAAACTATGAACTCTGAGAAACAAGGTTAGCGGTCAGACCTCAGGGAGAAGGTTAGCAGGCAGGGAGTCCTGTGCTTGATGGGTGGACACTGATGGATGTCCTGGGGAAATCTTACTTATTCTCTGTACCATAGAATAGTCCTAGGAATGGAGCAGAGTGGATGATTGACAGCACACTTATTGTGGCCTGGACCTCTTTGGCTCCCAGTATGTCCAGCCTAGAAGACTGCAATCCAACCCCCTCAGTAAAAGTTTCACAGCTAAATCCATATTGACTCAATCCACCTACTTATCTTTCATATTGGTGTCTAGAATGTTTCAGAAAAT